TGAAAAAACTTCTCAGGCGAGCAGCGTTTTGTAAAGCGGAGTACCCTTTAAATGAATTTCTACAATTTTATTGCTCCATTCTATTGCTCCATCTGGAGATTCATCCATTCATTTGTATATGCATAAACAAAATAAATTGTGCTTTAGTCGGTCTTAAACAAGTAAAAACACCCATATAAACATGCATCTAAATCAGACACACATACAGACACACATACAGACACACATACACACACACATACAGACACACATACAAAACACATACAGACACACATACAAAACACATACAGACACACACATACAAACACGTTTGTATATATATATATATATATATATATACAGAAACGTTCGCACGCCCCTAGTAAGTGCCCATGTACCTGGTAAGTACCCATGCACCCAGTAAGTATGCATATACCCAATGTACTTTTATAATAAATGATGCGTCACTTCGACACGGTGTTGGCCAAAAGAATGTGATTACCTTTCAAAATGTATGATAAGCGTTACGACGGGAATATAAATATTGTGTCAGATTTACAACACGCTGATGAAACTACACTGACGAGTTTTTAAAAAGTTTTTTTAAAAATTTAACTCATAAACATTTGTATAAAGTTAAAATTTAACAAAAGATCGATAGAGCAGCCTTATATAACATCACTTTATAACACTATTATGGTTTTTTCAAAATGCATTTGTATAAAAATAAGAGAGAGAATCGGGCAGAAGACAACAATTCATGTTTAACATCAATGTGCAACAGTCCCACGTGTTGTCGTCTCCACCAAACTCTGTTTAATTGCACAAATCAAGATAAGATGGATACTATGGATATCTTTTTGAACTTTGTGAAAAAAAATTTCTAGAAAAAATAAATTTGTTTTTTTCAGAAAAAAATTATTCTTGATTAAAAACATAAAAACAAGATTTGAAAAAACAAATAAAAACGGATCGTTCAAGTTTAAAGAGAGGAGAGAAAAATTATTTTGATGAATTTTCTCAAAGATGGCCCCGAAATTGAACACAGAATTGCGACAGAGTGATGTGTTTTGCCTGGAAATAGTCCAACGCAAATTTGAACAAATCATTTTTAAAAATATGGAAAAACAAAAATAATAAAAAAATTCTAAACTGTCACAAATGTGAAATATTCAGAAGGCACTCACTAAATCAAAAGGCAAATTTTGTTGGTGCATGTGTGTGTATATGTGTGTATTTATGTGTGTGTGTATGTTTATACGACTTGATATACACTGATTGCACACTCACTATATCACGTACATACAGACAGACACGCATGCTTTCAAACTTACACAAGAATACACACACACATATATAAGCAACTGAAGATAAACATGGGAATTGTTATACCAATTTTTTTGGAAAATTTGGTCCCATAGTTGACTAATAAATAAAAATAAAAGCCAAAGTCGATATCCATTAAATGGGACTAGTCGACCTTACTTGTATTATTATTGCAGAGGTTGAGACGATTGACTGGAAAGTTTTTTGTATATGTTTGTATGTGTTTGTTTGTTTTGTATACATTGGTAAAAGTTTGTATAACGTATACAAAACTCTGCAAAAGTATTTTGCGTACGGAGTTTAACGTTTAAGAAACACACATACCTACATCTTATCACACGCGCACACACACACACACACACACACACACACACAAACATCTACACACATAGACAAACAAACATGAAAAGAGTCGTGTTGTTTTTGCGCGCTATAAAATTGACCTCTTATTATTTTCCCGCTCCATTTATTTTCGCGGTTTTTTTATTTTCGCAGTTTTTTTTATTTTCGCTGTTTTTTTATTTTCGCAGTTTTTTTTATTTTCGCGGTTTTTTTATTTTCGCGGTTTTTTTTATTTTCGCGCACTTTCATCATTAAAAAAATAATTTTTCTATTTTGAGCAGTATTGCTAATATAAATATTAATATAATTATGTTAAACTATAGCCAAATATTTATCGTCACCAATGTATAATGACTATACATTTTTGGTTATAGCAATAATAGAAGTAGTAGTTGTAGTAAGAGTAGTAGCAGTAGTGGCAGCAGCAGTAGTAATAGTAGTAGTAGTGGTGGTGGTGGTGGTGGTACTGATATTATATTGGCAAAATTTTCGTGAAATTATTTTTCTCTTGAATAATTGAATAACTCAGCAAGCTACCGATCCGCAAATTTATTTTAAGATTCCAATTTAAAATTTTCAAAATTAATAACTTTTTCAAATCTGCGAAGCATTTTTGGGAAACTATTTTCAAATGTGGATAAGTTAATAATCTATTTCTCCCATTTTGTTCTTTATATTATTAGTTTTCTTTAAATTAAATTTTAAAAGTATGGACAGCCAACACAATGCGCCACGTAGTTCTGGTTGCGTTCGAACCCTGGTACTACAACATCAGTGCCAGGCGTCTTAACCACTACACCACCTTGCCACGCTATCCGTACGTGTATCAGTTTAATTTAAAAGGCATTTCGAGGATTTTTTTTCAAGTGGGTTGATGATAGGTTTACAACATGAAAGACATGCTAGGAACTCTTCAATTTATCTTCTTTGCACTGCAGCTTCTCTTTCAACATCAGTGTCATTTTCATCATCGTCCTCATCATTCTCATCAACTTTATCGTCATCTCTGACGTCATAATCGTCATTTCTGACGTCATCATCGTCATAATCATCGTAACCATTACCATCGTCATCGTCGTCGTCCGAAAAAATCATATGGGTCACATCCACAATGATGTATTTATATATAATCTCTCCTATCATATTTCTATTCTCCCTCCTCTCTCTCTCTCTCTCTCTCTTTCTTTCTATCTCTTTCTCTCTCTTTTCGTTATCTTTCCTAATACTTCACCCATGTTTTCTCTTGTTCCATATCTTTAAGGTTTTTTTGGTACTGCTCGTTTGATTTTACATTTTTTAATCTTTTTCATCCCGCCATGCTTTCGATTTTTCCATTAATTTCTTTTTAATCCTGCTATATTGATTTTTTTTATCCTCCCGTTCTTTCTCTCTTTTTTTTTCTTTCTCTCTCTCTCTCTCTTTTTCCGTCTCTCAAAATCATTAGAGCATCAATATAAAATTTTATCTTCGCCATTAAATATGACCAGCTAATCTTGCTATATTAATTTTCTCTTTTTCTGTCTGTCTTTCACTCTCTCTTTCTCTTTCTTTCTTTCTTTCTCTTTCTTTTTGGTTTACTCTCTATTTTTATTTTAAACAAGATGATATGATACTTCTATTCATTTCTCTCTTTCTCTCTCTCTCTCTCTGTATGTCTGTTTTTCTTTCTTTCTCTTTCTCTCTCTTTCTTTTATGACTGCTTTTTTCTCTCTCTCTTTCTCTTTCCGTTATAAACAAGATGATATCGCAACAACCATAGCAGCATCAGATGGATGGAGTTTTCCTACCTAAGTATCACCCGACTTACATAATAATGGTGATGACCGATAAAAGTATTTTCATGTCGTAACGGTCGTAAAATTTCGTAAAATCGTCGCCAGCCTAGCCCCCCGTGAATGATTTCAGTGCCATCTGGCCATGCATTGTCGTCTGGTTGTAGTTGAATTCCATTTAGTTTCAGTATCATCTTGTTTGCACTGTATTTGTATTGTATTGTATTGTTTGTTTGGTATTGTATTTGTGTTTGTATTGTTTTTGTGTTTGTATGGTATTGTATTTGTGTTTGTATTGTTAAGTATTTGTATGATATTGTATTTGTATTTGTGTTTGTATTGTATTTGTGTTTGTATTGTATTTGTGTTTGTATAGTAATGTATTCGTGTTTGTATTGTATTGTATTTAATTTGAATGGTATTGTATTTGTATAGTATTGTATTTGTGTTTGTATATTATTGTATTTGTGTTTGTATTTGTATTGTATTTGTGTTTGTATGGGATGGTATTGTTTCCGTATTGTATTGTATATTTGTTTGTATTGTTGTATGTACATTGTTGCAGTTATTATGCTTCTAAATGCTGTTTGTAAATAACTGTCGTGTTATTTGGCGGTAAAATATGTTTCTTTAAAAATGGTTATACCATATTTTGGGCCATTTTCCTTACTTTTTTTAAAAAAGAAATCAAAACAAATCAATTTAGTTAATAAATCTCATAAAAATCACACAAATAATAATAAAAACTAAAATAATAATAATAACAATTAATATGATATTATAGGTAATGAATAAATAATTAGAATATTTTTTCTCGCAAGGTGTCTACGTTTTTCATAATCGTTCTGGCACTGGTGGACTTGACAACTTGCCTCTTACTCATCCCGGGAACCATCTACATGGAGTACTTTGACTTTTACACGTTCAACGACTTCGTTTGTAAAGTTAGGATGGTTTCTGGGTTATTGTTCTTTCTACTGTTGCTACTACTGTTGTTGTCGTTGTTGTTGTTGGTGAAGTTGACGGGTGATGGCGATGATGGTGATGATGATGATGGTGGTGATAGTGATGATGATGGTGATGATGGTGGTGATGATGATGGTGATGATGATGGTGATGATGATGGTGGTGATGATGGTGATGATGTTAGTATTGTAATTGCAAATTAACAACGCTCCCCCAATTACGATTTCATTGATGCTGTGCTGCCGGTTAAAATAGACACACATACGCCACACCACACCACACACGACACACCACACGCGCCACACCACACACGCCACACCACACTCGCCGCGCCACACGACGCCACACACCACAGAGCTACCTGATGTTCAACAGCAGCATGATCCACTTCTCGGCCCTCATCATGGTGGCAATCGCCCTGGAACGATACTTCTGCATCTGCCACCCATTCCTTCGTCTACTATCTCTCTTCCGGGCTAAAATCCTCCTAGCCCTGCTGGCTACCGCGGCTACAACTATAGGCATTTTCATTGCTTTAACTCATCGTGTGTCTTTTCAAGATGACGTCATTGTTGCTGGTGGTAATAGTAGTAATAGTAGTAGTTGTAGTAGTAATAGTAGTACCAGTAGTAGTAATAGTAGTAGTAGATTCAGTTTTGTAAATAATACCGTTCATAGTTTTAGTAATTTGGAGATGTTTCAGCAGCTGCTACTACAGCCACAACCTTCGCAACAAACGCAGTTTTTTTCACTATATACAACAACAGCCATAACATCGACAAACAACTACAGAAGCGACGGTGGTGATGGCAAGTTTCATTTCAGATCTCCTTCTGACAAATTTAATCTTTCTACTCTGAATGAAGGTGATGATGGAGATGATGATGAAGATGATGATGGTGGTCATGGCCGAGGTTATAGTAATAGTTACCTGATGTTCAATAAAGACTACAACTACAACCGCAACATTAACATCAACCAAAACAACAACAACAACAACGACGTTAACAACAACTTCAATAGCGTCTACAATTACATCGGCAAACACAACAACATTGTTGTATCTAAACTCACTAACAGCACCACAAGCAACAACAGCAACACTAACAATAACAACAGCAATACTAACAACAACAACACTAACAACAACAACACTAACAACAACAACAACAACACTAACAACAACAACACTAGCAGCGAAGTCAGTGGCGACAACGGCGACAAAATTTACATTGGCAAATGCAAACAAGACTTTTCTCTAATGAGTTTACAATTTCAGGATCATTTCGGCAGATTGGTCAATTCATTTTTCATCATCTACCTCGCCCTGGTCATCATACTTTACTCAATAATATACAAGTCCGTAATGACGAGGTTGGTTCTTGTGTGGAATATTTGTTGTTGCTGCTGTTGTTTTGTTGCTGCTAAAGCTGCTACTGTAGCTGTTGAAGCTACTGTCGTTGTCGTTGTCGTCGTTCAAGATTCTGACTATTATCATTATCGCCAACAACGGTATCATTATCATAATTAACATCCTCGTTCTTCCTCCTCTTACTCTTCCTCATCACCTTATCATTATCAACAAGGACAACAAAAATATTATATCATCATCATGATTAACATCATTATCATCATCATAATGATTGTCATCATCATCATCATCATCTTCCTCCTCCTCCTCCTTATCATCATCTTCCTCTTCCTCCTCCTCCTCCTCCTCATCTTCCTCCTCCTCCTCCTCCTCATCATCATCTTCTTCTTCCTCCTCCTCCTCCTCCTCCTCATCATCATCATCTTCCTCCTCCTCCTCCTCATTATCATCATTATCTTCCTCCTCCTCCTCCTCCTCATTATCATCATCATTTTCCTCCTCCTCCTCCTCCTCCTCCTCCTCCTCATCATCATCATCATCATTCAGACGAGCGCGAAGACAAAAGCAGAAGAGTGCCTGCCTGGCTCAAGTACGCAGCGCCCAGGAAAAAACGAAAATGGCGGAAAGTCACGTGTCACGTTTTAAACAACAACAACAACAAAAACATCAACATCAACAACAACAGCAACAACAACATCAACAACAACAGCAACAACAACAACGTCGACAACAAACTGACTATATATCACTCATTAATGTTCAACGCGAAGACGATGATGATGATAATAAGAATATCAATAATAAAAACAACAACAACAACAGCAATAACAACAATAACAACAAAAACAATACTGACAACAACAATCATTGCATTTTGTCATCATCGCCATCACACGCAAACAGTAAAGATACCGTAGTATATGATAGTAAAAAGGATACAGATGATATAGATACAACATTTTTTCTTGCCTGTAGCAGTGCCGAAACTACATCATACATTGTTAATATCAACGCCAACAACAACAACAACAACAACAATGACATCATTAAAACCAGCCACAACAACAACAGCACTGACATCAATAACATCAACAACAAAAACCACAACAACAAAAATACAAATAACTCAACTACAACAACCACTACTACTACAGCCAACTTCAACAACATCGGCAACGTCGATCCCAATCAACGACAACAACATCAGCAGCAACAAAAAAACTTGAAAAAACTAACCAACAACATTGTCTTTAGAATTCGCCTAAACAGACACAACAACAACAACAACATCAACAGCAACAGCAACAAAAGCGTAAGAAAGAAACAGACAATAGACGGAACAATGCTGGCAAACATGAAAACGGCCGCCATGTTGTTTGTGGTGACCTTGGTCTTCTTCTTGACCTTTACCCCTGCCCTGCTGCACACGACCAACATCATAGAGGTCGACAATCAGGTGCTGTTCTATCTCTACTTCGCTAACAACGTCGCCAACCCCATCATCTACTCCTTTATGAATGGGAACTTCAGGGTGGATTTGAAGAATCTTCTCTGTCGCTCCTCTAGAGGAAACTGAGGATCAAAATTATGGCGTGTCGATGCTGCGGTGACTGTAATTATTTTGAGATGACGACGATGATGATGACGACGATGATGATGGAGTTGATGATGATGATGGGGAGGTTTTGATAATGATGATGTGACAGTTACATTGATGATGATGATGTGACAGTTACATTGATGATGATGATGATTATGATGAAGACGGGGCAGCTATTATGGTGACGATGCGATATAGTCCGGCGATGATTGCAGCAACATTGGGAACGATAAAGACGACAATGACGACGACGAAGAATAAGAAGCTACTGCCACGACGACAACGACAGTGGCGACAATGGCTTCATATTGGGAATGCAAATAATGACAAAAGCTCTAACAGTTCCGCCATTTTGTATCCAATTCACATCCTTCAAGTGGGCTGCAAACGTAAACAAATCGTACCATCAAAAAACCAGTACGAGGGGGGAAAAGTAAGTAAGACGGAGATTGTGTTTTCACTTCCGCCATAAATCTATAGAGCAGAAAGAATTTTTTTTTGTTTTGAAAAAAATTTTTTTGACAGAGTGTGAAAAAATAATTTTTGAAAAATATTAGTTTTTTTTTAGTTTTTTTTGCCGCCAATTTATAGAAGTTGGTCCGCCGGGATGTGAACGTTTTCCAGCTGCATTATTTATAATTCA